CGCTCGTTTTAATGTCAGTCTCCGGGCTTTGCTGTTTCCAAAAGAGATAACCCTTTATAAGGACAGAACGAGCGGGTTGGTGGGGATAATTAAACTTAAACACTTCCTTCTCGTTTTCTTCCTCAAGTTTAACAGATAACCCTTCGGTGCTATCGGATCTCCCCGGAGAGAGAGAGAGAGCACGGCCGTTTCAAGGTAAGGATAGGGCGCTCGATGCTAGGGCAAACAGGCGGTATCGTTTCACGCATGCACGGATGGCTGGTTTCAAATTTCCCCACATCCCTAACGAAACCGGCCCATCTTCGTGTGTGCGTCTGCGGGATTTCTGTCCCGCGCCGCCGGTTTTAGCACGCACGCGGCGTTGTTTTGGCTGGCAGAACAGTTGATGACCGTCGACATTGTATGGCCGTGATGTCCTCATCCTTTCAGGCAACGAGTCCTTTGATTTCCCTTGTGCAATGCTCTGACAGACTCCTCCTGGGTGGCTGTCACTGTTCGCCGCGTCAACGACAGAATCGTACCATTTCACTCCTCGTGACACAGGGTGCGCTGCTCGCTTTACTGTCATGGGCCGTCCCATCTAACACAACGAGCGCGAAAGGTCGTGGTCATCTGCTGGCTCCGAAAGGGCGGGACGTTCATGCAGGCCAATGAGGGCCCCGAATCAATAAGACGTCTGCCGACTCCTACACGTTAAAAATTTACGACACCTGCTGGTCTGTTAAGAAGTGTTGCTTTCTCTTTTTGGAACTCCTCCGATGTAGCTTGCCGCCTATAATAAAATTTAAATAATCAATAAATATATCAGGGTGGAAATACTGTATTTCATTTTTATGTGGGAACGTTGAAAAAAAGAAAAAAACTATTTTCAAGCTTGTGAAGACGCGCAATTCGCAAGTCCATTTCGAGCCGTAAAAACACGTTTTTGTACGATATTGATGCTTAAAGGGACCATGAAATGACTTTTTTACTTTTTCCAGATAACTTTTACATTAAACCGTCAATGTTCAGTGAATGCCGAACAGGCATCCGTTTTCGTCTCGGTTTATTAACTTCTACACAAAAAATTAACGAAATATCGACTTTTTCTTGACCGCAAAAGAAGCCGTGACGTACGCTGCTTCCGGAACCGGAAGTTCTCTCGGCGGTAGGAGATGGGAGCGTTAGCGGCGACGAGTTGGGGTGCGCCGGTAGGTTTTACTGCGCCGATGTCACCGACGTATTTTCTGAATCGGCGCCTCTCATCGCCGCATCGCAGCTGAGCGAAATTCAATGAGATACGTTGCGCTACAGCGACAGCATGGGACTAGTCCCATACACCGGTATGCCTGTTGGGAAGTGCAGCGAGTCTTCCGGTGAAGACTTCAGAAGTCAACCCAACTGTCATTGTTGGTAAAAGGCGGCCAGTGTCAGTCGTTTGCTTAGCGACGTAGATGGAAACAAATTGCCGCGGCGTTTTTCGCGGTCTCGGAGATGCAGGAGCGAGCCGACGTTAAAAAAGATACGTTAGAACTACGAGTGTCAGCAAGAGCCACGTAAATACCTGTTCACACTCGGAGCGGACGCGCGCGTTTGATGGAAGTGCTGTATTCGCGCTGTTGGTAAGCGCTTCGGGACCGATCTTTTACGATTGCAACTCGATACTGACGCGACACTCGGCAAACAAAGGTTGGACCGGTATTGCACGTATACCTCCCACGAACTGTTACAGCTCGACAGTGACGTGCAGTCTGTCAGAATAAAAATGGCATACCAATAACAAAGAGTACATACCGTGTTACGAAGGTAATCCATACAGCGTTTATTTCAGCTCTATATCACACAAAACAAGAAGAGAGAATCGACGAGGGTCTCTTTTCGACGAGTGTTCGTCAACACTGCCTCGGAAAACAAGGGGAAGAGATTGACCTCACCTCTTAATCTAAAATTGAGGTCAGCGATCAAACTATAATACGGGAAGGGTCCACAAGGGTAGCACGGGCATATTCCATTCAGCACGCCAGCCGGCCGTAGGCAGGCAGACGGTCTTGCGACGAAGCAACGCTGCGCCGAGTCGGAGTGTCTGCTAGGCCTATATTGCCTATATTTTGAGAGCTTCGTCGGAGCGGGATTCGCGGCTGTTGTCGCTCTTCTCGGGTGTTTGTGGATCCAGCGTTCTTGTTCGTCGTGGTCTGTTTTAAGTACATTTTTTTTTCTTGCTGCTTGAAGTCGGCACGCGCGAGATGAACACATAGAAAAATAAACGTTCAGCCAGTCAGAGTTTTGAGAGGAAGGAAACCAAAGGAAATAACCGTTCTAATTCGGCCCTGCCCTACTGCGCACGCGCAGTAGTTGCTTCGTTTACCACACGATAGATGGCGCTTGGCTCTCAGCATTATCAAATTTGGCAATTTTCGCCACACATCTCTAATTATGCTACAAAATGTGGATCTGAATATTATTTAACAAAACTTTTAGGAAACATTCGCCGGCTATTTATTGTTTACGATCGCGGTGCTGGTGAGGTAGGCTCTTACCCAATAGGCGACGTGGATTCGGCTGACGTGCTCCATTTCTGCGGATGAATCGTAGTGAAAAGGCAGAGCTTTCGAAGGAAAGAAGTCGCAAAAGAGTCCAGTTTTCTTTTAAAAGTTCTATAGCAAATAATTTTTTTTGGCTCCCTAGTTTTGTGTTTTTGTGTTTCTTTTCACACCTTTTACGACGTACGGTGGATGAAATTCGATTTTAAAATCATTTCATGGTCCCTTTAAATGTAGAACATACAAACAAAATATACACTTTCTAGGCTTGATTTTCGTGTAGACAACTATCATATCTACATTTGAACAAAAAATAAAAAAAATAAAAAATGGGTTTTTTGAGAAAATCAATTTCAAAAATGGTACTTTTTGGTTTTTGCATAATATTAACGTAAACGTACCACAAAGGATATTTTATACAACCAATACATTTTATAATAAATATAAAGAGCTTTTTTGGGGCTCTCCATGGACATAAAAAATATCGGTGTTACCCACGTAGATCGCCAGTAATTAATTGTCAAAGTTCGTCAACAATTGACTGAGGAGGCGTTTTTGACATTTTTACAGAAAAAAAGTAAAAGGCCTAAAATTATTTCATGGTATTGGAGCCTTTTAAATGTGTCCACAGAGTGCTTCAAAAAAGATACTATAATGTGGACTGAAAATCCATGGCGGGAGATCAAGCGAAACATCCGACCCACGACGGGTGTGAAAAACACTGCTTTTCGCCGCGGCCTCTTTAAAAATTCATAAGTCGAGAACAAAAAATCCGACGAACTTGCGGTTTGTGTCAACTGCGGTTTCAGAAACGGCGCCATAACATATATTTTTTTCGTCGAAATTAAAAATTCGACCCTTTTTGCCTGCATGATTTGAGATGAAACAACCCATATATATATATATATATATATATATATATATATATATATATATATATATATATATATATATATATATATATATATATATATATATATATATATATATATGTTGACTTGTATTTATTGGAAGCATGGCAGGTCTAAGAAAGCTCAGCAGGATTATAAAAATGTATGTATTTGCGTACAATACGCGATACTCTGTGGAAAATTATAACAGGTATATAGATCTTCAAAAAATGCAGCAGGAAAAGCATTTTAAAAAATGTTATCAAAGCAGCGTGAGGACTTTTTATTGTACAGTTAACGTGGATCGAAATAAAGGAGCAATTATTTTGACTCTAACACGATCGATTCGAGGCTCCACACTTTATTTTCCAGGCTCGCAATATAGGTGTGTGCGTTTCGTACCTGCTTGTGACCATAAAACTAAAAAAAAAAAAAAAAAATCTTTTTTATTATTACTTTTTTTTTTGTTAACACCCCAAATAGCCAGAGGTAGATAAAAAAAGCGGACATTTCGTTTGATCACACAAATGTGAACTGAAGAAACTGTTGTGCCGTTAGAACTTCCTAAAACGTATGCTGACCTGCCCTTCAAAGTTGGTACCCTACGCTTCGTAGTCATGGGTGATTCGGCTTCACGGTGTGTTCACCTTTCTCAAATATTGCGGACGCCTCCACGTGCTGGCGTTCGCCCGCTCGTCCACCTCGAACGTCGATCAAAGCTGTGCACGGGCATTCTTCGCTTCTAAAATCCCACATAGAGTTGACCCAGAGAATAGAAGTTACCTTGCTCGTCACCAACTTCATTTAACGCAGTCGCCTACTTTCTCAAGAAAAAAAAAACAAAAAAAACACTGAGCCCGCGAAGCTATCATGTCATGGGAGCAAGACAAAACCGGTTGTTCAACTTAAGTACGGCGTTTATCATCGCTGTATGGCACTGAGACGATACAAAAACTCATTGTGATTAGATATTCAGTTGACAAAAAGCTTACAAAAAATATTCAATTTTTTATCAGTCAATCTTTAACCTCACGCCGACGCCCCGTGCATTTGTTCATGACAGCGGCCCTAACAACGGTTTGTTTGGAGCACAGCGCCGTGTGGTGACGCCATCACTTACGGGGTCAATTTTGACGATGTGGAATGCAGGTCGCACGTTTGCTGAACCTCGCTGCCTGCACGCGATTCAGCAGCAACGACCACAAATTTATATTAGGACCTTTTTTTTTTAACCATTAAAGATGAAGGTTCAGAGGGAACAAAAAACCCTAAAACCAAAAATCACATTAAAAAAATAGTTTTTCAATCAGCATATCTTTTTTTAAGAACATACGTGCGGATTGCAAAACAATATTTCTAATGTGAATTTTGGTTTCAACAGAGTTCTGGAACTTTCCATTGCAACCTAATAAAAAAAGCAGAGATTATTTCCAATTCTGCTTCAGCTGGTATCCAATTGTGTTAAATGAAAGGCGGCTTCGACTACTTTCCGTCATGCTTTCTTTTTTTTTTTTTTTTGTCTTGACACTGTGTGCGTTTTTTTTTTTTTTTTTTTTATCAAAAAAGTAACGGGCTTCAAGTAACGCGCAACATGAAACGTGGTCAAATCGAAGGCCACCGCGTGGGTAGTCTTCAACATCCTTCAACTACACGACTCGCTTTCCGTTGTCTCCAGATCTCGAGCTCAGAGTCCGTGCGGAGGCTGTGGGACCGTATGGATGCCATGGGTGGCGCTATTCCGGTCCGGGAGGTCTTCACCGCAGATGCGGTGAAGACCTCCCGGACCACCATCTGCAGTGAAGACCGGGAGGTCTTCACTGCAGATGGTGCAGCAGCGCAAAGCCGTCATAGCCACGGACATGATAGCCGGACGCGTCCAGTCGTCCCTGTTCTGCCCGGTCCTGGACGGCTTCTTCCACGTGGGGACACAGTCCATCACCAAGCTGCGCTCCGTCTGGTACTACCGGAAGCGGATAGACCCCGACCTCGTGAAGGCGATAAACAAAAGGTTGGAAATAGACGATCTTTGAATCAGTGCATGATAGGTATTTGCTAGAGTATACGTTTTGCTATATGGAGTGTAATTCATTGATTTATTTTGAATACCGCCAACACCTAAGTGCACTAATGCGGGAAATGGTGCAAAGGGGGTCTCAGAGCATATTAAGAAATACATCTGCACCCAAGGCCAAGGCCCAAGAAGGCTGCATCTGCGGCCTTCTTGGGCCTTGGCCAACTTTTGAGAAGGGACATAAGGCCAAAAAGCGGCGATTAATTATATTTCTATATAGTGCTTATTTCTTCAAAATGGTCTTACCGCAATAACCGTGTGCCTCTTTTCTTCTTTATACTGCTCTTCTCCTTCGGGTTTCGTTTCCTTTATTCCCCTATATTATATTTTCACGAAGTAGGAAATTAGATAATGCAGGTGTATCTCCGTCTTTGTAAATGAACGATTCTTCTCTCCTCTTAAACTACCTAAAAAAAAAAAAGATGTAAAGGAAAGACGGTCGTAAGTGCATAGAATAACACCACATTTATGTCATTATAGTCGCAAAACATTGCCCACCGGAAGAATCGATTTAATTGAAATAAATAATACGTCCACTCAGCTCACGGATGTTTTGTGCGCAGAAACGATTACAGTGACCGACAGAATGGGAAAGTTGATGTTCCAGGATGTACTCTGAACATCAGACATTCTTAAGGTATTTAATCCAGCAAGACAGAGAAGATTGGTCAAGCAGTTCGAACAATAAAAACCGTGACGCCCTTTTGCCGTCGATGTCCTCTAATGAGGCGCAACATGGTCCACCGCGTTTTCATCAGCTGTACAAAATACAATATTAATATAGCCAATCAGAGCTTACGAAACGGTGCGTGCGTGTGGTAGACGCCTGTTTTGCTGAAGGTGGTTTTCTAGTTTTGACAGTCCACGGAGGTTTCGGCATCTAGGAGTTCGGACTGCGTGGGACGACAGCGCCATTCGCGTTCGCTCGCGCTTTGCACACGCCCCGGCTTCTGTGGCGTCGTTTTTCGCCACTTCGGGACGACATGTTTTTGTGTCTGGGCGGGATAGGACGCTAAGCAAACCAGTCAGAGACGCGCTCCCGGCACCATAGTTTAGGGGAAAACAAATACTGATTTGAATCGAAAGCCGCCGCGTCATTGCTAACTTTCGCAGCGTAGGAAGACCCACGGCGTACCAGCTACTTTTTCTGTGGCGTTGTGAGGCGTTCTGCTGTTCGATTCGAAGCCTTTTTCGCACACCCGTGAAGGATAGAAATTATGCGGAGGGCAAGTTCGTCTGCTTCTCGCGCAGGGGGTAGCGGTGACGTCAGAACGCCGAACCCTGATTGGCTGATCGCGACCCCCCTATCTGAGCGTCGTCTGCTCCTTTGCAACGTCGTCTGCTCGCAATGTCGTCTGCGTCTGTCTCACGTTTCCTGCGACTTTCGGAAGTGCAGAGATCAGATTCACGAAACGATCTTACGCCAAAAATGTGCGTAAGAGAAAACTTAAGAACAAATTCGTATTCACGAAACAAAATTTTCGTAAGTTTTGCGCAGGTTACGATGAAATCCTACGACAGCTCCGAAGCTGTTACGATCAAATCACCATGGCCGACAGCGTCGCGGTCGCGACGACCCACGGACGTTTATTTTTCTACGTGCGCTACTGACGCGTCCCGACTTCAAGCAGCAAAAAAAAAAAGTAAAAAGTACTTGAAACAGACCACGACGAACAACAACGCTGGATCCACAAACACCCGGGAAAAGCTCCGACGGCCGCGATTACACCGAACGCGACCAAACGAGCTGGGCAGTTAGGCCTAGCAGGAACTCCGCGACTCGGCGACCGTCTGCCCACGACCGGCTGGCGTGCTGAATGGAATATGCCCGCGCGACCCTTGTGAACCTTTCCCGTATTATACTTTTTTCTTCTTGTTACCTTCTTGTTTCCCGAGGCAACGGTGACTCTCGCCGGTGAAAAAGCGGTGAATCTCCGACAGACGCAGGAAAGGTAAAGCAGTCATCGCTTTGACTAGCAGACGTAAAGCAGACGACAACTGTGCCAACCCGCCGACGCCGTTAAAGAGTGAGGGGTCTCGCCGCACACGAGAGGAGGGAAAAAGTATTTGGGAGGGAACTTGCGGACACTAACACTCTCATTCTTGGTTCTAAGCAAACAAACCTCGGCGCCTCGGGACACCTCGCCAGTGAGTCCTTTGACTTCCCTCCTTGACGCGCGTCTGCTAGTTGTTAGACAAAAACAACGTGCCGCTTGAGTTATTTCGTCTGCCCTCTCTGAAAGGCGAAGTCGAGCTCGCTCGTAAAGACTTGCACTTCCGAAAGTCCCAGGAAAGGTAAGACAGACGCAGACGACGTTGCGAGCAGACGACGTTGCAAAGGAGCAGACGACGCTGAGATAGGGGGTCGCGATCAGCCAATCAGGGCTCGGCGTTCTGACGTCACCGCTACTTCCTTTCTCATGCGCAGAAGACGAAAATGAGCCCACTTGCGAGGCGCATTGCGATGTTTTTAAGATTGAAATTCGACACATGAATATTTTTAATATCACCGTCGAAGCCCAATCGCTGGATGGGTGTTCTTGGTTGCAGTAGTCACTGAGGCTTAGGAAACACAGGGCACTGGCTATTATGTTCGCGTTTCTTACCACAATCTCATTGGCTGTGGAGTTATCATAAGGTGCTCGAGACTCGGGACGCCCTGCGTTTCTTGAGATGTCAGTGATCATAGGAAATCACAATCATTGACTCTGCTCACATGACTGTATTTTTTTTTTTTTCGAGGATCTTGTGGCTCTCCGAGTCCGCCGTGCCGTTCATGCGAGACCAAGACCTCTACCCTAAGGGATCCACCTGCTTCCTTGACACGTCCAAGCAAGACCGGAGCGACGCCTTCCAGCCACTCACCGTGCAAGACATGCGCGCTGTCTTTGTGCTCTGTGGCTATTTGATCGCCATGGCCTGCGTTTTTCTCCTCATTGAGCTCATCGTTCACGGGATGTCACACTGCGCTGGCAGCCTCGCGTGAGGAAGCCGTTTCTGCAGGCTGGAACACATCTGAAAAACGCCAGCCTAATATATAGCACGAAATTTAAAGGAAATCTCCCAGCTTTGTGTTTTGAAAACATATCACGGGTGCGCACACCTCCTTCTGTAGTCGAAATTAGGAACTTATCAGACCATATCTTATTTTTAATTATATTCTTGGAATAGCCACCATGGTTTTTCTTTTGGTTTGCAAGAACACATATTTATAGAAAGCAGGCCCACAAAATAAATCCAATCAATCAATCAGAATAGTGCAGAACAGATTTCGTTATGTTACGCGATCCTTCTATGATTTTAGAAGGGGAAAGGGGGGGGGGGGGGGGGGGTGAGAGAGAAGGTTCGAATTCGTATACTAGTGTGAGGTGCTTCGCTCTTCGCAGAAGCTACGCCTTCAAACCATTAATTCACGAGCACAGCCCGCAATACACCTGGAACAGAAGATATGAGGCTTTGTTCTCACAGTTTAGTGAATGAGAACGTCGATTGTACTCATGCTGCAGTGGTTGTGCACTATCAGTGGCAAAGAAAGCATCCCTTTTTTTGCCACTGAATGTGCTTTACCATTAAAGCGTGGCATTATCCCTTCTCATGGCCGAAAATCTTCAAAGGGACACTCAAGTTATAAAAAAATATTTTAAATAGGTACAATATATTTTGTAGCAAACGCATCACCAAAAAAATATTTTTAGCAAAAATTTTGCCGTTAGGCGCAATTTAGGGTGGCGGCGGGGGTAGCCATAGAGTTATTATAATGTACGCTGAAGGTTCTACTGGCGCTAGTGTCTATGCGACTTCCGGGAGGCAAATTGAAGCAGACAGCAACCAGGCTACTTTTCTGTTGTTCCTGTGCATTTTTAATGGAAAGCGCGCGTGCATTTTGTCTCTTCGCCGGAAAATAACACGAATAACTTTTGTTATTTCAGTTGTACCGAATAGTATGGATCTTTATCAATATTGAGAAAGTGTAATTGTTTTAGTTGCAGCATTTTTATTTACCACGGAACGATGTTAAACTTCGCTATCTTTCAGGCCCAAACCTCCGTCCCATATGACAGGTATGTAAAAACGAGTCACGGTTCTAACCAAAATAATGATCGAAAGGAATGTAGAGTGTGTTCAAGGTTCGCTAGCATTCCGGTGGCGTTTATATGTTGCTAATATGCCCGTCGTGTCATATATATGAAAATTACTCCGTCGTGGATCTTTACTATCAGTTAAAAATACATTCGAACGTAAAAAAAGAGTACGTAGGTTGCGAAAGGTGTGTCTTCTTATTATTTCATATGTCGGGCACCTATTCTCTGGCTTCTCCCTATTTGCAAAGATTTGGAGCGTGCGGGTGATGATTTGACCCCAGAACAAGCATCTTCGCACATATTCATGAGCAGAAAGAAAAAAAAAATAGTTATTGGCTTTCAATTTATTTTGATCGTGTGCATGCACAAGGAGTTACTTATCCAGTGTTACTGCGTAGTTCCTGCGGTTTCTCTTGGTTTTCCACATGTTCCAGATGTCCTTCGTTCGTTTGGCACGTATATCTCCCATGCTGGAAAGCGCCGACGCCGTTTTCGCGCCAACAGTGTCCGACAGTGCACATAAATACATGTACGAAGCGGTTTTAGCACCGTTTTTCATGCCACAAATTTCAAATAAAAATGCCGAAAGTGACCAATTATTTCGTTTGAATGACTGAGAAATGTTTCAATGTGCCTAGTAGGGTGGGAAATGTTCCAATGTGCCTCTTATAATCTAGCGCAGAGAGCAAGCGCACTCGCTTTTTCCCGTAGAAATGCATTACCGGAAGTCAATTTTCGACTGATTGTTGTCTGCTTCAATTTGCAGCAGCACGCTAGCGCCAGTTGAACCTCTAGCGTACATTATAATAACCCTATGGGGGTAGCCTTGCTCTAGGCCCCGCCCGATGCTCACAAGACTAAGCACCGCTCTCATTAGTTAAAGAGATGATTGACGTGTGAAAAGATGGTAGTAAAATTGTCTCTCTTGCGTAGTAGTATTTAAATCGACATTATGCTTCAGAAACAAATAATCTAGATAGAGTCATTATTGTTTTCAAGAATGTCCCGAGATCGCCTTTCCGCTTCGGTTTCAAACGATAAGAATGATAAATAATAAATAATAATAATAAATTGCTTTATTTTTCTCGTGCCCACAAACAACCTCTTGGTTTACAGTGTGGTGCCCTAAACATACATGAAGTAAAACCTAAAAATACAGGAAACAGCAAAGTTAAATCAATAAAAGTCATGCAACATTATCATATTGCAGAAATTGATTATTGATTATTTCGCAGACATCAAGACACGTAAATTTAACATGAACTGATAAGTGGATGAAAACATGTCGAGGTTAAATTTTTGAAAATCATAACCAAATTGTGTTCTTGACAATGGGATCACAGCGGACAAGCCAGATGGATGAAAAGTTGGAATGTTTCGGCTTGGGCGAGAGGGAACATGAAACTCAATAGTTTGTAATAAAGCCGCTGAATTTACCCTGCCATTAACAACACTGTAAAGGAATAGAAAACCTCTGTATTGCCTTCTCACGGCCAATTTATGTAGCGAAAATTTACAAAGCAATGTTTCGTAGTGATAAAAATATATCCTTCCAATATAGCCGTCATATAAAATCTTTCCATTCGTTTTTGCACATTCGCAATAGCTACCTCTTGCGACAGTCAATGAATTCCAAATGACTGCGGCGAATTCCAGTCGCAATCGAACTAGAAGAGACTTAAATAAGAGTAGAAAGCAACAGGGAGCTGAAAATCGACAACAAATTCTGGAAATCATTCCTAAAGTCCTCAACGCTGCATTTACTATAGAAAAGACATCATGGTTGAAAGAAAGTGAGCTGTCAATATGGACTCCAAGGTCCCTGTGAAAGAAGACTGGAGGAACTAATACGCCAAACAGGTGGAGAGGGAATTTTACGGTCCTACTTGTCACATCTGTAGGTTTGATTCGTTTTAGGGGCTACTTTAAGCTCTTACCTGATGTGATAACAAGAATTAAAATAACTCTGCGTCACCACCATGCTGCAATTTTTTAGAGAACAAAATAGTGCGCACACTGTAGTTCCCGTTGCTAAATTTATCGGGAATTATTAAAACTCAAGATTTCATTATACGACAGGTATTGCTTTTCTGGCGATTTTTATAAAAGCAGTATGATAAAATACTTGTATTTTTTTATGGTTGTGTGTCTGAAGGCGAGAACTCTAAACTCATAGCTTTATCTTCGGCAATCGCTGCTGCTGAGCGAGAGTTCTTGCAGCTGAATTGACAAAAAGCTGGGGAGTAAAAATTAGAACGAAACAATGTTCAAACATTTTAAGAGCAGAGCTACGTATGTACCATTACTCAATCGGTGACATTAGATCATTATGGCACATGCAATTCCTGGCACTCAAGACACAGAAACAAACGCTGCCAGTCGGTTACTTGCGGGCCACGTCCCAGCGAGTCGCGGGCCGTATGCGACCACGGGCCGCGTGTTTTAGGCCCCTGATCTACACAAATGCGGGCTGAAACCTTGTAAGGCCAGCTTGCTCAACAATAAATCGTGCCCAACGCAGACAAATGCTTTAGACATGTCTAGGGAGATGGCGCCAACTTGACCTCTACTGTAACAATTGGTGCGGTGTAACTTAAAAAATGAACACAAATTGGACTCTACAGAACTACCTCTTAAAAATATGTTGTTCATCGCATATCACCTTGTTCAGACAAAAATAAACACATTTATTAACTACTTTCTCAAAAACTTTTGCAAATCCACATAATAATGACATCGGATGATAATTACGAGCTAAACAAGAATCACCTCCTTTTAATACAGAGAAAACAACGTGAACTTGCAGAGGTCGGGGAAAAGTCCTTGTTTTGAAGTGATAAGATGAAAATACGACACAAAACAGGGCAAATGCAGCACAGCAACCTTTGATAATAAAAGTGGGTATGCCATCCATACCCGTAGAAATTTTCGGTTTCATTTCATCTATTGCTTCGATTATATCTTCAATGTCGATAATGAAAATAACACAAAAAGTCATCACGTTCTACACCCAAGGTATTAATACTACTCGATTGCTGAGGCAAGTAGCAAGAACTAAAAAAGTCAGCAAAACGATTTGCTACTTCAGCTGCTAAAGATTTGTACCCGGCACCACCACTAAGGCAAATGTTCAAATTCTTTTCCAGAAAGTGTTGTTTCGCGTCATCTCCAAAATTCTTGAGGGTTTTTAGACAACCCACTTTCAGGGCCATTAGGGTGCATACACTTGTCTTGTTTATACAGTTGTTTAACCAGGCATAAAAAAACACTGAATTTCTGATACCAAACCTCTAGTCCTGTCTTTTTATGTAATCGATGATAGTGCAGCTTTTTCCATGGGGAAATCTTTAAATCTCTAGAAAACCAGCCAGAATAGTGGGAGGGGCACGTGAGCCGTTTCGGAACAAAGACATTAAGTGGGCTTTTAACAATGAAACTTAATCCTTCAGTAGCTGAGTCGACTATTTCATCAGTTAAGACTTCCAACCAGTTGTACTGTTCAAGGAGTCTGTATAAACCAAGATAATCTCCCCGGGAATGAGAAAATGCGGCTTGACTTCTTTTTTTGCACGTGGCGGGCCAGAAAAGGAAAATTCTGTTACAAATGGCGGATGGTAGACATCAACTGGCACAAGTGAATTATCAGCTGGCATTGTCCGCTCAAGCCGGGAGTTAGATAAACACAAGTCAAGAATATTACCACATGCATACGCTATTTCATTATACTGGGCAAAATTTACAAAGTTTGCAAATGATAATATCCACGACGCTTTCCTCGAAGTCACGCTTGATGTACAGGGAGCAATACCAGTTGCCCAGTGAATTCCAGGTAAATTAAAATCACCATAAACCTAAACCCGAAACTCAGAGGAGTGTATGGTTGTTTGGAGGGCTTCGAAGTGTG